GTGTCCTGACTTCCAGATCAGTTATCACAAATTCTTCAGTTGAGGCTTGCCCATTTAACTTGGGGCATCTTTCTGATTCTTGTCTGTGCCCCTTTTACCAGCATATCGCATATCCTTTGAGTTGTGGTCTTCAGAGTGCAAAGTAAATGGCCTGAGGATTGGTTTGGAAGATGGAGCCATCTCTGTCTAAAACCAGGTGCTGGTGATGGATGCTGGCTGATCCCAAGCTATGTGGAGACAACCCAGGCTGTTTGTGTTTGTAAGCAGTCTGAACATTGGGCCCCCACGAACTTTGCTTGGATAAAGATTTTCTCTTAATTCTGAGTGTGGTTTTGTGTCATCAACCCTGATTTGGGATTATAATGTCAGTGTCCCTATTGTATGGTTTACCCTTTTAAACACTGAAGCAAGATCATGTGTTAACTAGGTTTACCGGTATGCATAGCTAAATCAACGATGGATAATAAACATTTGTTTCCTTTCCTGCATGAACATGGAAAGCATTCAATGCTTTGCCCTTTCAAGATCACAATACTAGTTTTTCTTTATTTATCTTATTAATTTTTTCATTCATATGTATGCATCCACATGCCCATGTGTGCACTTGAGTACCTGCATGCCACAGCACTGTGTGAGGTCATGTGTAGGAGTGACTTATTTTCACTGTGGCTTCAAGTTCCTTTATCCACTGAGCCATCCCCCCCACCCCCATAATTCCTCTATTTAGGTTTTATTTTTAAAGGCCATGTAGTTCTTTTTGCCCTAAATTAAAATGCAGTTCCATCTCTACTAACTTGAATTTAAAGATGTACCATAGTCACGTTGTTTGTTTTTGAGTAAGGGTCTCATGTAGTCCAGGCTAGCCTCCAATTTGCCATGTAGTCATGGCTAGCCTTGGATTCCTGACTCTGTTGCCTCTACCTCCTGAGTGCTGGAATTACAGGCATGTGCCACATTTGGCTAAAGATATACTTTAAAAATACATTTTTCACACAGAATCAGCCTCCAATTTGCCATGTAGTCATGGCTAGCCTTGGATTCCTGACTCTGTTGCCTCTACCTCCTAAGTGCTGGAATTACAGGCATGTGCCACATTCGGCTAAAGATATACTTTAAAAATACATTTTTCACACAGAATCGATTTTTATTGACGTCGTTCCAGCTCGGGTCAAACGATCCTGTGAATGTTCTACCTGGCGTTGGGACAGCGGATTCCTGTTTAGACACAAGACAGCCTTCCCTCTCCTGCCTCTTATGATAAAGTCAGCCTGGGCTGTCATTCTTTTCCGCCTCCCATAAGGCTGCTCTCTGTAGATAAGCAGTTTCCCTTTAGGAACCTGTCATCTGACCACAGTTTGGCTTTACTTTGTTTTTCATTTGTTTCTGTAAGCCCATCTGTTCCCAGGCTGTCTCTGGTTATTGATTTGACCTTTATTTTATTGAGTGCTTGTAATAAATCCTGAAAGCCACTTATGGAAGGATTTTTTCATTTTTTTCTTCTCTCCTAATTCTAATGAACAGGATTCTAAAAGAGGATTTGGAATTGCAGTGTCGGGAGGGAGAGACAACCCACACTTTGAAAACGGAGAAACCTCTATTGTCATTTCTGATGTGCTTCCAGGTGGACCTGCTGATGGCTTGCTTCAGTAAGTGTCCTCACTCCTGTCCCCAGCCCCTGACAGCCCTGTAGGTTGGCACTAGACAGGGTATTATGATGGTTATGTGCCTTTAAATGCACTTTTATGTTACGTCTGGGGTCTTTAAGAGTTAGGATCACAACTAATATATTATGTTTCAACAGTCACCAAACTTTGGGGACCATCCAGACATGGAGGGAAGAGGGAAATCCTGTGTGTGGACTCTCCCAACCCCATAGGAAGGTAGTTAGAATGGTCAGTTGTAGGTTTAGGAACCTTTTAGCTTTTCTGTATCCCCCCCTCCCCCACATCTTTCCCTCTCTCCCTTCTTTTCTTTGGTGACAATGTCTGTAGCTTAGGCTGGCCTGCAAATCCCCACACAGACAAGGATGACTTTGAATTCTAATTCCCGACTTCCTGCATACTGGGTTTACACACCCAGTTTATACAGTGTGGGGGACTGGACCCAGGGCTTCCTCCCTGCTACAGAATCATACCTACTGAGCTACATCCTCAGTCCTTGGGAACTGATTCTGAACATGCAGCTTAGGTCACCATAACAAAATAGTTAAGAAAATAACTTAGAGGAAGTCCTTATTTATTTTGGCTCACATTTTCAGAGGTTTTTATCTGTCTCGGTGGGGAGAATGTAATAGAACAGGGCAGCCAACAACGTGGAGTCTGGGAAGCAGAGAGAGGGGAAGATGAAGACAATACCTGCCCTTCCTGGCTTTCTCCTTTATTTCCTCAAGCACATGGGATGGGGTCACCCACATTCAGGGCGGGGTCTATCTACCCCGCAATTCTCTTGAAAACATCCCCACAGACACATCTAGGAGTGAGCTTTACTAATCTTCTTAGTGCTTGTCAACCCAACCAAGTTGACAGAATTGACTGCCTCAGTTTCCGAGTTTCTCAATGTCTACCCAAAGCGTATGTATGTATGTATGTATGTATGTATGTATGTATGTAAGTGTGTATGTATGTATGTATGTTTTGGAATTGAGTGAAGATGGTTAGGAATGTGCCTCCATAGTAGAGCACTTAGCATAGATAAGGACTGGGGTTACTATTTAGCAGTGTCCCCCTCCTCTCATAAAAACCCACCCCCAACAGAAAACTAACACCCCCCCCAACAGAATTTAATAGCAGAAAAATCATGATAGGTAAACTCAAGTTCTCCAGCTGCCAGCCTGTATTCTGAAGAGGGAACTCCACTTTAGCAGATGGACCCTGAATCCTATCAGGAATGAATTTGAGGATAACTATGTGGCTACATTGGCTGGCTGGATCATTCAAAAGTTGAATTTGTGTGAGATTTAAAAATCTCTGTGCTCTCATCCTATTAGTTGGTAGTCTTATCAAAGTTTTAAGAGTAGTATAAAAATTTTAAGATAACTTTGAATGAGCCTAAGTGATAGGATTAAAGTTTCTTCAAGAATCTGAGGCAAGCTGGGCAGTGGTGCTGCAGCCTTTAATCCCTGCACTCAGGAGGCAGAAGCAGGTGGATCTCTGGGTTTGAGGCCAGCCTGGTCTACAAAGTGACTTCCAGGACAGCCAGGGCTACACCGAGAAGCCCTGTCTCAAAATAAACAAAAATAATGTGAAGCAATGAAGCCAGGCCTGATTGTGTTCAGAAATAATCTCAACATTCAGGCGATGACGGAAGGATCAGCTGTTTAAGGCCTTTCCTGGCTAAATAGTGAATCCAAGGCTATACGAGACTCTTCTCAAAACAAAAAAAAGAATCCAAGGCAAGTTTCTGACCTCTTTCCCTCCAGACATTGCACAAATGAATGTGTACTTGTTTCAAGACAGTACATGTGGGCTTTTTACAGCTCACTGTGTGCCTTAGAACATAGGACTGTCACTTCCACACTGTCTCATTACGCCTTCTGATGTGACCCTGAGGTCTGGACAGGTCTTTTACACAATCACTGTGGTTCTTAGTAAACACCTAGAAGCTGAATGTGTGGCTTCTGGTGTCTTACCTCTGAGTGGCTCAGACCAAGTTGGGCTTACTTGGGAGCCGCCACACACTGAGCCCCTTAATCAGCTTTTGGGGCTCATTTACTACTTCTGTTTTCTCTCAAGGGTTCAGGCCGATTCACCATATGTTTTTTGACTGATGTTTATTTTTTTGTTTACAGAGAAAATGACAGGGTGGTCATGGTCAATGGTACTCCCATGGAGGACGTGCTCCATTCATTTGCAGTTCAGCAGCTTAGGAAAAGTGGGAAGATTGCAGCCATTGTAAGTCCTGTGATAGCATGTGAGATGTCCCCCCACTCTCTCTCTATATATATATCAAATGTCCTTATACACATAAACTGTAAATAAATATTCTTAAAGCTTTTAAAAATTAAGAATTTGTTTATTGGAACATAAAGAAGGGTTGGCGAGATGGCTCTGTGATTGAGGCCATATTGCAGAGAACCTACCGATTTTAATTCAAGAACATTTGTTTTCTATGCCCAAAGAAAACAACCATTTGACAGTTGCATGACCTAGGGCCTGCTTGCTTCTTGGAATCTTGATCGTTTTCTGGGTTGATGTTCCAGGTGTGAAGCTGTGTCCGAGTTGTCCTCTCAAGGAAGGTTGCAAGGGTTCTACTTAATGCCTGCTGCACATATCTCCTAAGAACAGGGCCATCCTGTTGACAAACCTAAGAAAACCAGTAACTGCAGAGCCATCTAATACCCACTCCATGTCTCAAGATGGCTTTGGAAAAGTCATCTCAGATCCAAGTGCACTCCTTATAATTGATTATCTCTTTAGTCCTTTTTTTGGTCTGGAAGGGATACCTCTTCCCCTTATCTTCCTGTAACAAGAGTGTGAGCAATTAAATACAAAATTTCTCACTTCCTGGGTTTTCATCTGACTTTGATGAACTGACCGAAGCCTTTGGGGCTTTTCATACTTAGAAAAGTATTCCAAAGCACTGTACTCACAGCGGCAGTCGCTTTTCTTGGTCTACCTTTGTGACTTTGTGAGTTGTGCTTTTTTTTTTTCTAGATAGGAACCTTGGGGCTGGGAGGGTTGGCAGGGATATAGATGTTTAAGGGTTGTAGGATATATCTATATCTATATCTATATTTATAGATATAGATATAGATATCTGTATCTATCTCTCTCTATATGTATCCCTTCCATACACTGAAATCTAGAGAGGGACAGTTTCATAGAAGCTGGAACCAAGGACATTGCCCTCCCAGTTCTCTCTGTTTGCACTGTCCTACATCTGCTCTGTTTGTCTCGACAGGTGGTCAAGAGGCCCCGGAAGGTTCAGGTGGCCCCGTTGCAGGGCAGCCCTCCTCTCAGTCATGAGGACCGGGGTTTTGAGGTGATAGATGAATTTGATGGCAGAAGTTTCCGCAGTGGCTACAGCGAGAGGAGCGGGCACAGCAACCATGATATGCTCAGCCACAGCTGGGAGGACGGCAGGGAGAGGGGGCGTCCCCAGCCCCGCACACAGAGCCGGGAGCGGGAGCACAGCCGTGGCCGGAGCCTGGAACGCGGCCTGGACCACGAAGACTATGGGCGCAGCCGGGAACGCAGCCGTGGCCGGAGCCTGGAGCGCGGCCTGGACCACGATTTTATGCCCCGGGCCCATAGCCGTGGTCGCAGCATTGACAGGGATTACGACCGAGATTATGAGCGCTCCTATCACCAATCCTATGAGCCTGACTATGAGGGAGGCTACATCCCATTATATGACCGCAGAGCCCAGTCTGAGGCTCGCTATGAGCGCAGCCACAGCCGCGAACACCTACGCTCCCGGAGCCCCAGCCCTGAGCCCAGGTCCCGGCAGGAGCACAAGCATGATCCAGACAGGCCCATCGGGGTCCTTTTGACCAAAAACAAAGCAAATGAAGGTAGGCGCACATGATGTGGGAATGCAAGCAGTGGTGCCAGTATCGTCTGGCACTCACCCAGCACCTACCGGTGTTCAGCATCTACCTGAACTGGCAGCCAACAGTGGGCTCATTTATTCCTCAGAACTACATTATGGGCATTACTCTTGGGTCCTTGTTCTGTGGTATGCAGACAGAGACGCGGAAGGGCCCACTGATCTGGACACGGGTGTCTCAATGCCTTTGCTTCAGACAAGTACCTCAACCGCGTACTTATTGCAATGAAGATTCTCAGGCTCTGCTGGTGAGCCTGGCGGTCTCTGTGGGAAAACAGAGCAGAAGACAGTACACCAGCTCTTCTTGATGAAGTTCTATTCTGGGCCAGGGTGGTGTTGAGTAAATACTCTTTAGTTAATCCCCCCCCCAAAGACCTTGGGGTAGGGAGACCTCCTTCCCGTGTTACAGGTCAGGGGTTTTGGTATGTGTGTGGAGGTTGGCTCTGGCTGAGTCTGCTCTCCTCACACTGCATTCCTGGAGATGTGGGCACACTTAATCCCATTCCAGGATTCATTCACTCTGCAGTGAAGCTGTTAGTACTATACATAGAGGAGGACTCTGAAGCCCAAGAAATGGGAAGCTGGAACCCACACTTAGCTGATCTGAAGCCAGGAGATGAACAGGAGTTGAGCCATTTCCAATCTTGGCTCTTGTCCTCCTACTTTTAAATTTTCTTAGAACATAGCTTTTGTCTCGTTGGTTCTCTTACTGTTCTAAGCCGAGAAACGTGAATGCAAGGTGAAAGGTCCGGTGTTCTGTAGCTTGGGGATTTGCATTTATGAGGGGATTTTAGACAAAAGAGTCTGTTTACTACATTTTTCCTACTTAAATAACTGGAGTGATGCAGGGTCAGGAATGGGGTACCCGGGGCATAGGGGCTTTGTAAGCTGAGGTTGCACCATATTGCTGAGGAGAGGGGCATGCTTGTCAGCAACTTTGGAAGCATGAAGATTTCACAGAATCTTCATAGCAATGTGTCAGGAAGTGTCCCTTCACTCGTCCTCATGCCGGATCCAGACTGAAAGGTAGACGCCAGAGATGTCCTGAGAGTGAGCACCAGGCAGGGACCTCCTTCCAAGAGGTCTGACCCATTCTGAGGGACGTTGCTTTTCAGTCCTTTCCTCCTCTTTCCCTGTTTCCACCCTTGCCTCTTCTTTTATGTCCTCCTGCCGTAGGAATAACCATGTATGTCATGCAATCATGGGGTACCTTGTGTTAGTCTGGGTTCTCTAAAGGAACAGAACTGATGGGATGAGTGTGTGTTAGCACCAGGCAGGGACCTCCTTCCAAGAGGTCTGACCCATTCTGAGGGACATTGCTTTTCAGTCCTTTCCTCCTCTTTCCCTGTTTCTACCCTTGCCTCTTCTTTTATGTCCTCCTGCCGTAGGAATAACTATGTATGTTGTGCAATCTTGGGGTACCTTGTGTTAGTCTGGGTTCTCTAAAGGAACAGAACTGATGGAATGAGTGTGTGTTCGTGCGTGCGTGCGTGTGAATCTGTGTGTCACGGTGTGTATACACACATGTGTGTGTAAAGGGGATTTCTTAGAGTTATCACAGGCTGTGGTCCTGGTGGTCTAACAATGCTGTCTCCCGACACTCCCTCCTAGATGCGGTGTTGTTTTCTTTTGAGAACAGTTCAAAGTGCCGCTGACTGTTCGTACAGTGCTTCACGGGTGGCTCTGCCCCAGCTTGCAAACCACGGGTAGCAGGAATTGTTGCAGATGATGTGCACTGTTTCTTCTTCCTGTGGGCAACCTCGGGGTCAGCACAATTTCCTAGTAAGATGGATGAAGCAAGTCTTTGCCACCAACATTTTACTTGAAAAATGTTCCCTGGGGCTGGAAAGATGGCTCAGGGTTTAAGGTCACTGCCCATTCTTCCAGAGGTCCTGAGTTCAATTCCCAGCAACCATATGATGGCTCCCAACCATCTGTAATGTAGTCTGGTGCCCTCTTCTGGACTGCAGGGGTACTTGCAGGCAGAACACTGTACACATAATAAAAATCTTTAAAAAAAGAAAAAGAAAAGTCTTCCCTTTTACATCATTCACATAGCCTCTGCCTAGTTTGACCGTTGTTAGCATTTTGCAACATTGTCTTCCTTTCTCCTTTTTTTTTCTGCTTGTCTTTCTCCACTTCATCCTCTGCCTCCAATCCCTTCTCTCTCTCTCTCTCTCTCTCTCTCTCTCTCTCTCTCTACATAGCCTCTGGCTACTTCCACCAGTTGTTAGCATTTTGCAACATTGTCTTCCTTTCTCCTTTTTTTTCCTGCTTGTCTTTCTCCACTTCATCCTCTGCCTCCAATCCCCCCACCTCTCTCTCTCTCTCTCTCTCTCTCTCTCTCTCTCACACACACACACACACACACAAACACACACACACACACACATACATTCTCCCTCTCCCTACCCTCCCTCCCTCTTAAAGATTCTAGGCCAATTTAACAGTGTATCCCATATGAAAACTAAACTTTCATAACTTTTTGCAGTAGTCTTCAAAGTCTGCCTTACATTTTCTGAATAAGTTGAGGACATGTGCCTTCCTTTGTTTGTCTTCTAGAGTATGGTCTCCGGCTGGGGAGTCAGATCTTCATCAAGGAAATGACCAGAACAGGACTGGCAACCAAAGATGGCAACCTTCATGAGGGGGACATAATTCTCAAGGTGAGCAGACAAGGACAGGGAGCAGTGTGTGCCTGCATGCATTCCTGGTCTGCACTTCGGCATCCACACCCCAGGGCCCAATATCTGAGTCTCAGTGGCCAGGAGTGAGGTAGAGAGAAGAGCAGTGCTGTGAGGTGGTCTCTGTCCAAAGAACAAAAATACACTGAGACACTAGGAATGCAGCTCAGGAGCAGGGCTCTTGCCCAGCAGTGTGAGACCTGCTACCTCTCTCACCCACCCTCCCAAAAAAATTTAAAAAGGAAAAACAAGCCTTAGAGGCTGTACTAATTAAATAACAAAGGAAAAAAACCTCAAGGAATACTTTGCCCTTCTCCCTGTAGATTTAAAGTTTAGGTTCCTGTTCCTATACCAGGGGAAGGTGAGCCTGAGAACCCTTAATCTGTGATTGCTGAATGCTTGATAGTTTTTACAAACCTCTCCGATCAGGAAGCGTGGTCCAGCAGTAAACCAGTCTGTAGTCTTGAACTTGGAAGTTAAATAGATGAGCAGAGTAAACAAACTATACACTGACTCTGTTGTGCCTGTTGTGGGCATGTGTGGTTATATTTCCATGTAAAGGATAATTCGTTTTCATTCAGTCATCCTGAAGTCTGGTCTGAGTATTTCAGCAACTCCCTTCCAATTCTATAAAGGAAAATAAGTGCTTTTTTTGCAAAGCTGTGCATAGTTGTCCTGCATATGAATAACATCTCTGGTCTTCATCTTCACAGATCAATGGGACTGTTACTGAGAACATGTCTTTAACTGACGCTCGGAAGCTAATAGAAAAATCTAGAGGGAAATTGCAGCTTGTGGTGTTGAGAGACAGCAGGCAAACCCTCATCAATGTCCCATCCCTCAATGACAGTGACTCTGAAGTAGAAGGTAAGAAGGGGCCCTGCTTGGAAAGGACTCCTAGTTGGGCCACTGAGAGCAGAACTTACTAGTGATGATAGTTGACAATTTGCTAAGTGCTCATGCACACACCAATAAAGTACTTTAGTGCCTTAAGCATGACAGAAGCCCAGCATGGTAGCTCCTTGAAACCCTCAAAGAAAGAAAGAAAAGGAAACCAAACAGCAACAAAAACCTGTGCTCCTGAGTGCATGTTCTTTTCTTCCTGGGGTGTTTCTTTATCTTAACTCCAGTGCTTAAAATTCATGTTAAAATCTCTTCATAAAAAGTCGGGCATTGGTGGCGCACGCCTTTAATCCCAGCACTCGGGAGGCAGAGGCAGGTGGATCTCTGAGTTCGAGGCCAGCCTGGTCTCCAGAGCGAGTGCCAGGGTAGGCTCCAAAGCTACACAGAGAAACCCTGTCTGGAAAAACCAAAAAAAAAAAAAAAATCTCTTCATAAATTCCAACTTTGCTTAAAAAACAAAAAGGCTGTTAGTACTGTACCTTTAGAAGGTAGTGTGACCCATGAAGCCACACTAAACAATCTGTCAAAACAGCTCAATATTATAGTGCACGCTATATATATATATATCTGTATCTTACTAATATATGGCCCTGTTCCTGCTTGTTGCTACTGTTTGTTTTGTTTAACTTGGATAAATGCATTTATTCCAGTTTCACATATTATTTGCAAGAGAAGGAATCAAGTACACTAACTGCCCTTTTAATGCTAATAAACACTTAGGTTGAAGTACAGGAACCAGCTCCAAGTGTTTGTTCCTTGTCAGAGTAGGTGTGGTGTCTTCAAATTGCAGAGTGAAGATTGCTGCCCTACCTTCCAAGGATGTTTTAGAAAAGTGATTTGCTAAGGAGTGCAGTAAAAGGGTTGCAAATACTCCCTCACATGCATATCCTAAAAGCAATGCCAACTAGGAGATGGGCTCTTGTCGTGTAATACTTGCAGATTGTGGCTATAGCTCAGGAGAGGGCTTCTGTAGCATGTGCATGCTCCCTGAGGTGTGATTCCATCCCAGACCCACAGTTGGCTCTTCCACTGACCCCTTGTTCAGACTACTGGGTGAAAATACTGTTGTGGACTGGCAAGATGACTCAGCAGGCAAAGGCGCTTCCCAGGGATGGCTAGTGTGAACCAACATGCCTGGTTTTGAAAGTTAATTTCATTTCTAGTATATCAGAAGTCTGCTCAGTTCATCTGGACTATGAGTATAGTACAGGAAAGCAAAGAGAGCAAGGCAACTGATTGTAGGAGTTTACAGTTTATTTCCTTACTGTCATCATGTGATTCCCTGTACAGCCTTAGTGTCGGGGAGTTTGATTCTAACAAGATCCCCAGATGGTTTGAATATACATTAAGATTTAAGGGGCACTGGTCTGTTTGGCAATGAGTGGTTTCTCTAGTCTCAGATTCGGGCAATCATGGGTTGAAAATATGTGAGAAAAGAAGTTAAAGTTTCTTCTTCTTGTTATTCTATCAACAACACAGCGTAACTGCTGTGGATATGGCATTTGCAGCATGTTATGTATTATAGATAAAACTATGCAGGCGATCGTGGGTAGGCTGCATGCTAACGTTTAACATCTTACACGAGGAACTTACTCATCTGCCCAGTTTGGTCTGGAACCAATCTCTACAGCTCAATTGTGGTCCCCCTTAAAACAGCTTTGCAAGCAAGTAGGATGTGAGGTGTGCCGTCTAAATTAGATGACCTCTTCATTAAATAATGTCTCTCTCTCTCTGAAAATTAGCAAGTCTTTTCTTCTCCCTTAGTGAAAACAAACATGTGGTAAGCTGAGAGCCTTCCCTTTTGCTCCCTGACAGAGGATAGTTAATTTGGGGTATGTGCTCATTTCACTGAAAAGGACTTTCCTTATTTTGAAATCAGATATCTCGGAAATCGAGTCCAACCGATCATTTTCTCCAGAGGAGAAGCGCCAGCAGTACTCTGATCAAGACTATCATTCCTCCAATGAGAAGCTGAAAGAGAGGCCGAGGTAAGGCAGTGTGGGCTTTTGTTTCTGGTAGTCACTGGCAAATGCACCTGAGTGTGTTTCGTGAATGTGTCATCTGCTGACTCATGATCATGGTGTGTGCCTCAGTTCAAGAGAGGAAACCTCAGGCCGACTGTCCAGGATGGGTGCCACACCCACGCCATTCAAGTCCATGGGAGACATCACTGCTGCAAGTGTCTCAGAGGCCAACAAGGAGCCCAGGAACCAGGAAGAAACCCCAGGTAAGGTTTTAACGTCGTGCG